CACTGGGTGTTATGCACAAACAATGAATCATGGAACACTTCATCTAAAACTAATGATGTAATGTATGGGGATTAACATAAGAATAAAAAAAAAAAGGCAATTTCCCCTGTTAGAGGTGCCCTTCTGGGGGAACTTCTTACAGGGGCCCCCACCCCCTGCACCCGCTGCTTGATAACAAGCCTTTTTGAGGGGTGGCATTAAAGACCTGGGCCTAGACTGAGCCTTGGAGAGCAGAGAACATTCCTTAGTCATCTTGGTGACTCCAGCACTAGGTGTGAATGAATGAGAGGCCTGTGGGGCTTTCACGTGGCCCTCAACCCTGTGCCTGCTTCTGGGGGGAGCTGGGCTTTGCAGTCTGCCCACCCTGCTCTTGAACTCTGGCTCAGGGTGGGAGGGGAGGTGGCCGGCCCCACAAACCTGGGCGGCAGCTGGCTCCAGCGCCCTGGGTCAAGGAACAGTGAGGGCGCCCGGGATACAGGGGTTGGGCTGAGAGCACCCCTGCCCCCTGACCAAGAAGCAGGGGTGCAGGGAGGCCGGAAAAGAGTCCCGGCCCAGGGAATGGGAGAGAGTTTACGGCGCTGGGAGGACAGGCAGGAAAAGGTTTCCATTCCTTGAGGAAAAGGAAGGAGAGAGCCTGGTTTTAAAATACCTCCCGGCCTCCGACGGAGGAGGGGGGGCTGGGGCGCGCGGAGCCGCCCCCAAATCGTAGGCAACACAGGCATCGAGCCTCAAGCCTCGGGAGAAGCAGGTTTATGAGCTTTGAAACCCTCTAAGATGTGAGAGATAATATCCATAAAATCCAGGATTGCTAGAAAGCCACAGACTTGCTTCTCCAAACTGCTGAAAATAGAAAGTAGGAAGTGAAATTAATAGCGCTGGGGATGAGAGGGAAACCAGGCCATGTGTGCATATCTTCAAAGCGAGGAAACAGCTCCATCTTAAGAGCACGTTACGTTCCAGGTGCTGAACCAAGCCATTTCCACTTATTATTTCATTTAATCCTCATAAAAGCCCGAGGAGATAGGTCCTACAATCTTGTGTTATCGATGAACTTCTCTTAGGTTGGGTAACTGGCTCCAAAGTCACAGAGCTGAGCTGTGTTCTAGCGGACTCAAGAGGATGGATTTAATCACTGTGCCCGTAGCTTTGGAACCTTTTCCACAAAGACCCACAGTAAGAGATGGATTTTAGATCTGAACCCAGCACACATACATCTAATATATAACTGAAAGGAGAATTTCATAAAACAGCATGTACCCTTACCACCCACAACGCTCACTGATATTTTCTATTCGTTCTGTTTTATTTAAAAGGAAATGCTAGTCAAGACCTAGTAAATGCATTTCCTCATCCATTAATGGGACAGGACCCCCAATGGCCCCCGCGCTTGGAGAAGCACTGCATTACCCCCTCCTGCCAGTGGAGGGGGGTACACTGGACCCAGAAGAGGGCTTTACCAGGCCCCCCTACATTGCTGGGCTGGAGGGTAAATACCTCCCCGGATAAACAGTGCAGACTGTAGGATCCTCTGGAATCTCCTGGTCCTGATGAATTACACCCCAGCACCATATGAGAACGAGCCTCACAGACCTTGCAGGAAGTGCTGCAAATGAGACTGGCAGTGACTTATGAACAAATAATTCGTAAGCCGTTATAAAGGGGTACAGCGTGCCTTCGTGAGGAAGCCTGCACGCCGGATCTCTGTCCTGTTTGCAGTCCTTGCCTGGCGCTGCAGACACGGTGCGCGGGAATTTCAGCAAAGCGCTTGGCTGATTTCCTGAAAGCCCGCAGGATAACTGGGGAACCGTAGGATGGTTTGTGGCTAAGTACACGTATTCTCGGCGGACTGCCTGTCCCAAACAGGGCTCAAAAGAGACAATCCATGAGGGAGTTCTTTGTAAAAACAAAAGCACTCAGGGGCGCCTGGATGGCTCAGGTGGTTAAGCATCTGCCTTCGGCTCAGGTCATGATCCCAGGGTCCTGGGATTGAGCCCCACATCAGGCTCCTGGCTCGGTGGGGAGCCTGCTTCTCCCTCTCCCTCTGCGTCTCCCACTGCTCATGCTCTCTCTATCTCTGTGTCTCAAATGAATAAATAAAATCTTTAAAAAAAAAACGCAGAACAAGTGGAAATGATCATTTATAGATT